TTTCACTCACAGTGTCAACATAAAAAGATTGTCAAATCCTACTTAAATCAAAATATTTAAGAGTCTATATTACATTTTAAAATGAATAATAGCTTTCAACAATTTTACATATTTCCATCAAATCAAAATGTAATTGAGCGCTACATGTTGCTGTTGAAGGTATTTTGATACAAAATGCATTGAAGAACAACCGTCTCATATATTTTTCTGATAAGTACCCAAAATTTGCAAAAATCTGTCAAAAACGCTCGGGGTTGTTGATTATATCTGAAAGTTTAGCATTAAAAAAAATGCAATTAAGACCACAGCCACAAATGTATCAGATATTTGACAAATTTAATTTGACTCTTAATGAAAAAACGTAATATAGATATATCTATATCTATAGGTATAGTTGTCAAAAATACATGTTAGGCAATATAAAAAGATTGGGTATTGAATGGCCCAGCTGCTTACCACTATTATTCATTGTTCATTGCAGAATATTTTCACGATGGAATTTATATTAATGTCAAAAAGTTTTCCACACTTTGCAGTCCGCAGCGTGATTTACTACATGTCATATAATAGAAGTTACTTTATAACATTAGTACTAAATGGAAGAACTGTTCTAAAATATAATTTTCACTGCTGACTGGAAGAAATACAATATATTGATTGATTGATTGATTGATATATAGATTGATTGATTGATTGACTGGTTGATAGTTTGATTGATTGATTTATTGATTGGTCCAACGGGAATAAATATCATAGTATTGTTTATAATTACAAATTTTTTCGAAAGGAATTTCTATAAAGCAAAATAATTATACAGGTATTTACATTACTGCATCTTTTTATGAGGGTTTTGATGGGGTTAACAGAAAAGGGAAGAATTGACAAAAAAAAGTCCAGAATAAATGGCAAAACAATAAAGAATAAAGAAATGAGGGACCCCATCCAGACCCTCTATTTCTATTAACGTGAGTATAATTATATTACCATAACCTACCGTTCATAATCTCATAATGCTGACGGTGGTGAACACGCATGTATATCTTTTTTCCATTGATTTCTGAAACTGTGAGAGAAAAAAATATTGAACTCATAAAACTATGACTAAAAAATATTTCTTGAAATTATTCGTCAAATCTTACAATAACTTCTCAGCTTTCATGGTTATATCGTGTTGCATATCATTGGCGGTAACTTCATAAAAGTTCTTCATTTTCACATTTATGCGATTTTATAATTAATCAAAGAATTTCACGATAAAGGAAGCCTTCAAGGGTACGAATACATGGCGTGTCCAACAGCACAAGCTCTGTTTTAAACTGACCTTTAGATAGTGCAAAGAAATGAAATAAACTGATTTAGCGAGCAGTTTGAACTTGGGCTGACTTTCCCTAAGAAAATATCTCGAGATTTTTCGCAATGTTAATCTTTTAATCTCAAAAAAGCAATTATGACTTTGCAGTTAAATAGCATTTATCTTGGGATAGTTATTCATACAGTGACCTTTAATTCTTTACATCCTCGTCCAAAATTCCTTTGGTCATTTGTGGAAAGTTGTCTCATTGGCAATCATACCAAATTCTCTTATTTTTATGACTATAAAAGACTTCTCAAAGGCATTTGACATCATACCCAACTATATCAGTCCTATTCAGGACCGATAACTCTGTCGATAAATATTGTCGGGTATACAATGTTGTTGAAATCAGAGCAATTGTATTATATGTCTCTGTTGAAATGTATACAATAACAAATTTTTTTACACAAGTTTAACTTTATATCGATTTATTGAAAGCCTGGATTTTGCTTAAAATATTGAATTAAAAAAATAAATAATAAAATAATATTCAATGAAATCTCGTTTAATTTTTTACGAAATAATACAAAATCCATTTAAATTAAAATTTGAATCAAAATATTTCTTTAAAATAATTATAGAAACATAAATATTAGTTTGATTATCTTTTAAAGCAAAAATTATTTTTTTAAAGATTTTTTTTAATAATATTCATATTTTCTTTAAGTTTATTATGATACATACTTCTTCTGGTTTGACACGGGGAAGAGAAGATATTTATTTGTACAGTTATGAAAACTTTTGTATATCACAAAATTTAAACTCTGGTAATACATGTATACACAGGATGTTTAATGTCACCTGGTTGCTTTTGGTTTGCACGTCTACCTGACAATATATTGTTATGTAACATTACATCCAAAGTCAGAGTTCACCTGTTCGTCAAGTGATGGGATTTTGAAGGTATGGAATATTTATCTATAATAATTGTTGGGATTTTTTTCTCTCTTGGGACGTAAATATTTTTTTGTTCTAAAAGGAATGTATAAATATATTTCTAAAGAAAGATATGTATATATATAAATTATACAGAAAACAGGAAAAAAATCTTTTAAAAAAAGAAGAGAAAAAATTTTATTATAAATTTTATTGTTAACTATTTTCTGGTAACAGTATATCCTGGATATCTGTCAAAATAAAATTTTCCCGTGTCAAACTTAAAATAATATTTTTTTAATCAATAATGATTTGAAATCAATCATTTCGAAATATCACCAAAGAAAATAACAGAAACATCAGAGATTCTACATGAAAATTAAATTAAATCAAGGCAAGTCTTACTATACAAATCCTCGATTTGATGCAACATTTCCATATACATCATCCGCCATTTTGAAAAATCCCGAAATATTCACTTTTTTAAATCGATTTTTGACCGAAATTGCCCAGAAATTAAACTGTTTTAAATAGTATTTTTCGCCAGATATATGTTTGAATATACTTAATCGAGTTGCAAAGTTTTATTTTTATTAACGGAATTTCTTTATTTGTTATACAAGTAGACATGGGTATCGGTAATTTAGCATTGAGTCAACGGAGAAATAACGAGAAAAAGTACATGTTTTTACGATTCTCCAGTGACAGAATTTAATCAAAAATTAAACTGTTAGGACCAACATTGTTTGATAGAAATATGTTTGAATATCAAGGATTAATTTGCAAAAGTTAGAAAACGGGTCAGGTTCATGAGAAAACTCAACTTTATTGAAGCACCTATGCATTTTATATGGGGCAATATAATACAAAATGGCGGCTAGTATACGTCACAAAAGTCACGTGATGTCTGACTTAGTTGGATATGCGTGCCACACAGCAGACGATTAACTAAACCAGAAATCTACGGTATAGAATTAGATAGTAACTTAAATTTCTGGTCTAATTTGAATTTCCCCATTCCTACAAAAATGCCACAGATGCTAGTCGTCATGGTGAACATTCAGTTAATGTCCGGGTAGACTCGAGTTCCATTTATAAGACACACAATCCTCTCTCCTGTCATGTTGATTAACGGTTGTACTTTACCGATCTGTTAAATTCCATAGTCGACTGTTAACTATAGAAGTACCGTCACTACTGACTGAAGTTTAAATGATATTCGAAGAAGATCTGACTTGGCTGTTAACCAAGGGAAACTTCAATGCTAAATTGACACATGATGATCATTAGATAGACCACCCCCTTCTTCTACCAACAGCCTATGCAGTATGGCAACTTTATGATTGATTGATACTTGTGTAATTTCGAGTTGCAACTATTTCATGCATATTCAGGACGAGAACAAGTTAACAATGACATGTATTACAGTTCTGGCCGGAGGGAATAAAGGGCGAGGAATTTTTAACTGCCTCTGGAAATGAGGGTTCACTGGATAGGGACAGAAATTTTGCCTTGTAACAGGCTACCTAATGACCTCTCAGAAAGTGTTTGTAAGGGTTCTTTCGGGCGAAGAAACAGTGTCATTCTTCCTACATAAGCAGCATCAGATTGAAAGTCGGTTAAGAGCTCGGTAGAGCTCATGTTAACTATATATATATGTTAATTTGTACATATCATGTCCGACTCTAAATAAGATTTACTTACTTACTTACTAGAGGTCTAGTCTACTGAAATAAGGCAAACATTCGAACATTACTATATTTTTCATTTATTTTATCATTTTCATTAATTGTCCTACGCCTTGACATTTTGGTAGAGAACAAAACTTTTAATTAGTAAAATTGAGAACACACACTATGCTCCGTTCAGTTTAAGAACCATGACTGAAAAAACAGTGAATTTCCTACTCCCACAACGTGGAAAGACAAATTACAATACAGCAACAATCGTACAGCCGCTACAGATTAGTTAGATCAGTTTAATCTTGACTGAGATCAGGAAAACACATGAGGGTATGGATGGGGTCCTTCATTTCTGTATTCTATAATTTTGTTCGCTCATTACTCTTTATCTTTAAAAATAAATGCTATTCTTTAATTACTTGATAACTGTACAGTAGTATTCTGGACATTGTTCTTTTCTGTATGTGTTTACCCAATTCTTTAATTTTGCAGTTATTCTATATTTTAGCACCCCTTTATTCTCTATTGTTTATTCTTTTGTCCATTTTTCTCTATTCTTTAATTTTTGGCTCATTATCTCTATTTTGTAAACCACATCCACACCCTCAGACATTTATAGTGACAAGGTAAAATAAAGAGCAAAACAAATAAAGAATAGAGTCAGAGAAAAATACTAGGCAAACAAAATAAGGAATTGAAAATAAGTGGGTAATAAAATATAAGTTTGGTCAAAAACAAATAGACATGTCTCTGAACATAGTTATATAAAAACCCGTGGATTTCTAATTCTTAAATGGTATTTTTCAACGATGTGTAGAAAAAGCGTCGTCGTAAACAAACCATAGGTAAAAGTCCGAGATTAGCAGACGCTATATTTTTTTCACATTGCAACAAGCCTTACCTGTACTTACAACCATGAAAAATATGAATATTTGCACATGCAACATCTCAGTGAAATGTCTTGTTATGTTTTAAACACGGTAAACCAAAATGTGTTAAAACAGGAAACAATATTGAAACAATGAAACAGAAGTTTTTGTTTACAAAAAGAAAATTTCCACCAGATGTCACTAGTTTTGTAACCGGAAATGTCCGTATTTCTCTGGCTTCTTCCATTACGAATTTCTTCAAAATGTCAAGTTCTGTTACATACGGTAAGGAAATACTACAGCGAAATAAGTTTAAATAGGTGAATTTAAGGAGAGAAAATATATGCATTATGAAATGATATGTTTAAACAATTATTTTATAGTCAACAAAAGAAATGTCATTCGCCAATTTTGTTTGTCAACGTGTAAAGTCACTTGCAGGTTCACTGCTTGTGTAACCCTTTAACACGTCGACTTATATCGCTTGCTGCTTCATGCATGGCATGCTTGTTTACTCTTCAGAGATTTAATTCTGATTTAAACAAGTGTAACCCAAATAAAACTTTCTTTAAAATTAAAGATAGGGAATAGCAAACCACAGAGTTTGAAAAGTGTTGGACTGCTGTAAATTATACCATAGCTAAACTATATATACTACTTGTTTGTTTTTATTGTTTATTTTTGTGTACTATATCATTTTTGTACTTACTTTATGAGGGCCCCAAGAACAGATTAGTGAAAGCTAATTAGGTTACCCTCTTGAAATAAAGAATAATATTATTATTATTAAGGGCATACGATACAGTAGAGATCCCTCGTTGATTTTTTCTTGAAATTTGGGTAGAAGGTCAATTTCGATGTGTACTTTTGAAATATGCAAAGAAAAATATACCTTCATGACTTACTTTTTGAGATAATTTGGTTCGAAATTTGCATATTTGAAGGAAAAACCCTGAAATTTCATAAATAAGGACTTTTAAGGAAAGTACCAATACTTTTGAACGAACAGTCATAATTTAACCGTGTTTTTTGTAAAATGTTCCCTTGATCCATGGCATCAGCATGTTGTAACAAGTTAACGGTTGAAATAAATAATTATATCCTAAATTCTTTTAATATAAGTGAAATAAAGAAGTTGAAAATATTTTTGCGTCTACACAGAAGTGCAGAAAAAAATTCTATCGTTGATTTTTTCTTAAAATTTTGGCGGAGCATTCTTGAAACAGAACTCGATCGATTGCAAAAGAAAAAACTGGGGGTCCATGTGCTTGTTTTTTCAATAAAAGCAATAAAACTTAATTTTTTATTGGCAAACGGGGCATTTGCCAATAAGGCGCCAAACTACGTTGGAATAAGTTTTATTCGCAAGATCCGTAGATCGTTCCCGCCGTTCACTATACTACGTTGTCAATTTCAGTGGTAGAGCCAAGGTGTTTTTTTTTTAAACCAATGATATTAATCATGAAAATTAATAAAGCTGGCTCCTCGTAAACATGATAGCATCATATTTGCCAAACCTTTATGAATTGTTACAAAACTTGGATAGAAAAAGTATTCTAGTAAATTACTTTTAGAAAAGAAATGTTCGAAAACAAAACAGATATATAGTTTTAATTATTCAAAAGACCCCGACATGACAAAATGTGCAACAATTATAAAGTAAGGGGAATGATATAAAAATAAGGACATTTGGTATGATTTCAAAAGAGACAAATATCAACCATAGTTCGAAAGAAGAAGACAAACGCTATTAAAGGTCACCCTACGGCCTTCAACACAAAAAAAAAAAGAAAAAGAAAAATCCACACCGTATAGTCAGCTTTAAAAGCCCCGACATGAAAATGTGAAATAATTCCAACAAGAAAACTAACTACCTACTCTATAGGCATTACATGAACACAAAATCATACCAACATTAAATCAGGTCAGCTCAGTCAATTACAGTGTAGTATAACATTTCATACAGCAGTCGATATAAGAGCATGAAATTTAATGATTCTGTATCAATAGATAAGTTACCTAAGCTTGTCTTCGGGATATTTTTTTTTTATTACGGTACATATAATCATTGAATTACTTGTCTGTATTATACCTTTAATCTAGGAGTGAGTGCAACCACATTGTTTGTCCGGTCCAACAAATATTTTGTTTCTTATCTGAGAAACTACTTTACAAAAAGACTTCGTATTTGGTCAGTTACTTAACATCAATGAGTTGCAACTCTGGTCTGTCAAATACCTAATTCCTGTGTGCCGATTTTTCTTTCTCAATATGTACATAGAGGATATGCTTAGCACATCAACGGGTGCGTTTTTGTTTTTGGTCTATAATACAGGGCTTATAACTGAGTCATTTTAACTGACAATTCTTCTTCATACACTTATATATTCCACGGGTTAAATTCTAAAAATGCCGTTAAACTCTTTAATGTACCTTTTCAAAGTCAGGAACAGTTAGATGCGCTGTCATTATTTATTACGTTTTTTGTCATTTTGTTGATAGTCTCTGTTAAAATTATCCGTACAATTCTCATTACGATTTAGAGATAGCCAAATGGTGAAGTTACTATATAAATTACTTATGTTTTTTTTTGTGTGTAGTTGGGTTTCTCTCTCATAGAGTCTTATGTTTTTCATATCTCTTATTCATTTCCTATATGAAATAACAGACATACAAAATTAAGAATGTGGATTTGATTTTTTTCCCATTCGAAGTTAATATTGTTGACTTCCTTATTAATGAATAAATATGACAATTCTCGTGATTTGGCCGATTTTCATTGCAGGTACTTTTTTCAAATTGGAGCAATCGGGAGTATGATGTCAGTGGATTTCCGCAAATGTGACTACATCTAAAACGACGTCGCGAAATGTAATCTTTCTTATTAGAAACATCGCGAAATTACAACGTTCTGATTAACAACGTCGCGAAAACAACACGAAAAGTTTTGAAAACTTTATTATCTGCCCCTGCTACTGTATCGTATGCCCTTAAACACTAGAACACACCCTAGACACGGGTCTGTTACTTAATTAAAGTACAGGTCTATGCCTTATTGTAGCCTGGATTTTTAGTATTTGTATTGTCATCTGATAAAAGTCATGCTGATTATAAGGGGCACAGTTTTCTCTGCTTTCAAATTCTTTCTGTTTTAACCTGTCCTGGTTCTCTAACTACAACCAGAAACTACATGTGACATATACTATTGGTATCGGTATCGAATTCGACCTAGAACTTGTTAATTATTGGTTATATTATGTGGAACACAAAAGGGCCTGGAATGATGTAATTTTTAATCAACACCATATTAGCAGTCAGGGGAATTACTGAAATAAGTGATTTATAAAACTACTTATTTGAGTAGCTAATTCGAAATTTTGTCACAAATTGTGATTTTGTAGTTTTACCAAAATTTTAAACATATAGGTTCAGATTGTATCTTATTATTAGTAAGATTGAAAAAAACAAACCTTTTTCTTCTTTTAAGTAGCAAGGTTTATGCCTTTGATGCAATCAATTAGCTGTAAATTCTATATTTGTTGAAAAAATGCTATAATGAAGGCTTTACATAATGAATTGATACTTTCTTAACAGATTTTTCCCAGCAGTGGGAGTATTTTTCCTGTAACATGTGTAAAATTGAAGGTTTCATCTTACAGATTATGTAAGATTATGTAATAAAATTTTACTGTTCGCGATCTAAATTTCACTGTTCAGGGGTGTTGAAATTAGTGGGGGTAATTAAAATAATAAAACAATGTTGCTTGTTTCTGAATCCCATTGTTTATACTGTATTATATTATATAGCATGTTTTGACTTATCGAATAAAATATTGTATAAACCAAAATAATAATACTTAAAGAAATGATTTTTTGGAAGAAAAATGAGGTATGATACTTAAACAAGTGATTTTCATGTCATTATCCCAGATTTAGTACAAGGTCATCAACTGACATGAACGGTCATCCTATCAACATGATTAACACAGAATCCAAGATGTTGGTTCTGATCATTTTAGCAACATAATTAGTCCCTCGATCATTAGTATTGTATATTTAAAGCTACAATAAAATTAAATCACTTAGTCTATTGATTTATTTGTACTACTTAAATAGGTGATTATTAAAGAAAAACAACTCTTACTTCCAACCTTTGTGGACATAATGTTACTTGAATCAGTGATTTAGAAAATCACTCATTGAAGTAAGTCCCCTGACTGTTAAAGAAAGACAACTCTTACTTCCAACATTTTTGTAAAAAAAATTTGTTTAACATTGTTTAAAAGTATTTATGAATCTGAACATTTTGTCACAATCCCAGAATCATAATTGTGTTACAACAGTAAAGTAATCTTGATAAATAAATTGTGTAAATAAAAGCACATAGCAATTTCTCTAAATATTAGAGCATACAGGATGAGCTAATCCTCCCATCATCTGATTATCATGATTATACTAAGTGACCATGAAGAATGGCTTAAAAATTAAAGAACAAAGAAATTATCAAACTTCCTCCTTTTCATTCATTCATCATGTTCATTCATAGACTTATACACTATATGTATGCTTTAAACTGTAAATATATTATCTTAAACATATTCTAGATATTAAAAAAAAAATCTTTTCTTGAACAAATGTTCATTTTCCTCTAACAGTATAATAAGATAATTAAAATACAGGTATATTAAAAAACACACTTTAATGCATGTTTCTATATTTATTTATTTGAAATAATTAATATAAAGATTTCTTGTGATGCTTCATTTGTTTTCTATACCATTTGGTACCCAACATTTTCCATTGTGTACCCATGATCAAAACCATTTCTTACCCTTCTGGCAAACTGTGTAATCCATTTCATACCTTATAGATTAATATGATTAAACACATGTTTACTATTTCGTATCATATATAAGTAAAATTGTAGAATTTTTGGGTCTCACTAATTAACAACAAGTATAGCAACAAGAAAAATAATTTAGTGACAAAAAATCTAAATATTAATTAAAAACCAATTATTCAAAGAACAATTGAAGGTCTTTCCACATCAATGTTCTAAATAATTGATAAGAAGCTACATCTGGTTTATTAAAACTACTATTGGTGTCCAATCATAGGTTTCTTCATACTGATTCAATACATATATGGTTTCTATAGCATTTTGCCTGAAATAAGGGAGATAATTGCCAACTTCCGGTTTAGAAAATGTGACTTCCAGTCTCATCTGATAGCTTTATTTACACTGATTCCAAAAATATATGGTTTATATATACTTTTGACTGTAA